CTCTTCTCTCCATGTTCAAGAAGAAAACCCTTGATTTTAAAATGTGTGGGTATTTACTAGTAATTGTGGAGAAGTGGTTTCTTTTGAAAAATGTGTACTAGTTACTTATCTTTGAAAAATGCTATTTGCATCACATGTACTGTAGTCAAGTTTTCATAATTCTAAATCTTATCTTTATACAGTTCAATGTGCTATATCATCAACAGGATGCACAAAGTCAATGGAACAGAACATCGTCAATGGGACAAAAGCACGGAGGCAAAGTCAAGATGCTTATTTTCAAACCAAGTACAATGGTTAATTACAATATTTATCTTGTAACAAACGAATAATGCAATTTTAATCATTTTAACATGATAGAAGTTGTTGATATAGAGTAGCTTAGAGATTGACTGATTTAGGGAACAAATCCACTGGTGGTATACATGTTTCTGCAAAGAGAACAGTCTATCCTGGGACTTTCATCACTAGATGCATTTTCTATTACATATCTTGGGGAGAGAGATCTCCTACAATTAAGATCATATGCAAAACAGCCTCAGCAACCCTCCCTTGATTCATGCTGGAACTGAGTACCTTGCATGCAATATTTTGGCTAATGAAGGTCCTGAAAAGTCATCCAAACCAGAGGCTTCATCAATAATCAGGTCATAGATGGTATTAGCCACTAACCTTTCATTTACCAACATCAACTGAAGAGCAGGGTTCATGACACCCTTCTCCACTGAGCAATTCCAGTAAACCTATGCAATACCAATGTAACAGATATTTTATAGTTCAAACTTGGCTTATACCTCACTAATACTCACTAATACACTTATACCTCACTATACTCACTGCCAAGCCTTCTCTTGCTCATGAGAGATCCAAGGGATCAAACTTTTGCCTTCACACCTTTTCAACTCCCCAGGTGTCCACATACTCTACTCCTGGCAGTAACCAATCATTTAAAACGCAATTTTGTATACTAATATTTGCAAAGTAATAGGTTACTCATGTCATACTGGGTCCCTGTGATGGGGTGTGCTCCCCATACTGGCCTTATAAAAACTGATTTAGGCCAGGAAGGCCCAATCAGCTAATTTGGCTGAAAATGGGGGAGCTTTAGGCTGGAGACAGCTAATTAGAGACACGCTCACCTGCAAAGGACAAGTGGGGATTCTCCAAAAGGAAATTGGAAGCAGAAGTGGCTGCCTGGAAAGTCTGCAGTCACTCCCTGGGCAAAGGGAGATATGTTTGGGCTGGCGAACCCAAAGAGTGGAAAGGCCAGGAAAGTAGGACAGGGCTCAGAAAAAGGTAGTACAGTCTAGACAGGAACAAACCTTGACTTCTGGTTATAGGGTCCCCGAGCTGGAATCTGCAGTAGACTGCAGGCCCGGGTTTCCCAATCAGCCACTGGGAAAGTGGTACAGGCAATGCATAGGAAGACTGTCTGAGCCTGTTTGTGGAGAAGAGATTTTCTCCCCAAAAGAGGAAACCATAATAATGACCTAGCGAGGGGGCTGAATCATGAAAAGGCCACAGCAGCTCCTGGAGTGAGAGGGGGCTGCAGACAAAGAGGGTGTGGAGGGACGGCTTACAACCACAAGGAGAGGCATCAACCTAGTTAGCTATTCTGCAGAACGGTCAGGAGGAGGCGCCATCCTAATGGTGAGTAGAGCACACTGTCATAGTCCCAAACAACCGGATACCTAAGAATGTAACTCTTTCCCATGAATGTTTCTGCAACATGTTGACAAAGTATAAAGTTGCATAGGTGATGCAAATACTTATTTTTGTGGGTTCAAACCAGACCCTAAAAATATTTATGCAAGTTTTTCATTTACTCTTTCAAATATTGTGATAATTAAAGAAGAGATTTAGTAGATCTAATGTACCCATGTTCTGATTACCATCGTACAGTTAAATTTACCAAGAAATAATATCTGAATAAGGAAGGGAGAAGGAAGAAAAATTCCACAGTCTACCTTTCGAAAGGCTGCCATAAGAGGCGTTATCTTTCTGTTATCAGCAGCATCCACATCTGCTCCAGCTTGTACCAGTAGCTGGACAACATCTAGATGCCCACCATTTGCTGCAAGCCATAGTGGAGTATTCCCCTTCTTATTCCGTACATCAATGTGAGCTCCCCTAAAAAAAGCAAATTGTTTTGACCAAAAATTGAATCATGCTTTGAGAACAAACAATACACAGGATCTATATAATTAGGTCATTACCTATTTCAACTAACCTTTTAGCATTAAAATACTGCATTTTATATATGTTTGGAATGGAGATGTTCCAGTTTTTAAAATTTTTTTTGACCTTCTGAATCTTTATAATGATATACATATTTACACTACGCATGCCAACAGTCAGTATGGTAACCTGAGAGCATGCCAGAAATCCAGACTCAGGCACTATCTCTAAACCTTTGTTTAGAATTGCAGGTGTATCTCAAGTTGTGGTCAGGCTTATAGGAGGGGCTTGCTGACAGCTGTTTCTATATGCCTTCTCCTGGTCTATTCATGAATGTGCATTGGTATCTACCTTGGAAATGGCTGCTAATGGGAGCATATTCACAGTAACAGTGAATATTATAAGATGGAGGGTTCAGAAGATACATCCCTCAACAATGAGGATGCAAGGAAATATTAAGATCTCTGATCTGAGTCTTAGGTCTAAGCATGGTGAGGAAGAAAATACATATTTGGGTCTAATACAAAGTATACGCTAAAATTACTCAATGTTACATCTCCTGTGAAATACAGAAAAGTACGACAATCAGCATTCAAGACCCTTTAACAGCCCAGCTTCAAATATGGTACCTGCTAATGAGAAGCTCACAGAACTTGTAGTGCCCTTTGTCTGCTGCTATGGTTAAAGCTGTATCTCTCGATGAGGGTACTGGAGGAGCATTAACATCTGCACCTTTGTCCAGAAGAACTCTGCCTACCTCTGCATATCCACCCGAGGCAGCTTCCATTAATGGTGTGAGACCAGTCTAGGTTGAGTAAGCAGGGGGAATGAAAGAGTTAGTTATTTTCTTTTTTTCCTGCCCCCCTCCGCCCCCTTTTTCACTAAAAGCCAGGAGTAACTTCAGCTTGCAGCAAAAAGTTCTAAGTTCAAACATACGCATTTCCATCATTACCTTGCAAGCCCGCTTATATAAACTGTTACCAACATTTAAAAGGAAAAAATAACATCACCTGCAGCTGGCCAAGAGTGTGGACCATGCACTATGTTATACTCTGGAGACTAAACATGCTTTGGGGGACAAATCCTGGACCGGCGCTTTGCAGCACAAAGAGGTGGAGAAGTCCTTGGCTATCATGTTACTAGGCTTTTTACACTAGCCCAACCAATCTTGTACAGGTTTGGGCATGAGGAGCAGGTAGCAAAGAAGGGATGTTCTGCTGTGGAGCTCATGTAAACAGGTTTTTATATGGGGAGAGAAAACCTCAACTGCAGCAACACCTGTACTGGTGAGTATTGGATGGGGAGGGAAGGGACATAGTCGGACTCGTCTTGGAGGGGAGAAACCCTATTCTAACAGTTGGTATAGAAGCAGATCCTGCAAGTTTAAACTCTTAACTTATGTTCCATTTAGTGGGCAGAGGGAAAGGAGGCAACTTTTGACCTGATCACACCTATCTTCATTCCTTGGTTGACAGCTCCTTTTCAGTGCTGACTGCCAGGGACGCTATGTGGTAGGTCAACTGATGTAGCTGTCTGGAATATTGACTGTCAGCTGAGAAGCCTTTTCTCTACTGTCATCCTCCACCCCAATGGCTGCCAAATGTGGCAAAGAGAGGAAATGCCAAGTGAAGTCACAAACTCTGCCCCAGGCAGGGGGAGGGATTTGATGGCTGAAAAGTTGCTGCAGTGCCTCGTTTACAGGGTGCACACCTCAGGATTCCATTTCGCCTCCATGGCTGTGGAAGCCAGGCAGAAGGTAGAGAGTCAGGCAACGAACACAGCTTGGGTTAAGATCAGCTTTTCATTTTTAAAAATATGAAGGTCTCAAGAAATTTAACATAAAATGATTAAGTGTAAGATTTATCATCACTCTGATGCTTGTGATTATCTGAAGATTAAATAAAGCTCCAGAAGCTAAAACAAATGTTTTTTCTTTACTGTACACACAATGGGTCTAGGTCTGTGTGTAAATAAACAGTAACCTTAAAACAAAGATATTTCTTTTCTTTTAAATAGCTCTATTAAAACTCAGCCTCTTCCTTGGCGGTTTCAATAGGTGTGCGTGCAATCTATAAGCAGATAGTTACTACATAGGAAATACTTATTTTCCCTCTTTTCTTAACTTCCAAGGGGGAAAAAGTCACGTGAAACATAGAACTACATTCTTAGTATAAATCTGCTTAGCTGAAAGACACATATCCCATCCTGCTCCTTACCTTAGCTCTGTGCTCGACATTAGCTTTTCTGTCAAGCAGTAGGCTAACCACTTCAGTTCTTCCTTGGAAACAGGCCAAAGTCAAGGCAGTATTCCGATTGGTCTCTATCTGGGCATTAATATCAGAACCCATGTCCAACAGTAGCTTAACAGCAGCAGTGTGCCCATTCATAGCTGCCAACATTAAAGGAGAAATGCCCAGTTTGCTACCAGTTCTGGGGGGGAGGGGAAACAAACAAACAGTTTTAATTCTCATTATCATTGAAAAGGGTGATAGCAAAATTAGAATGTGAAAAATGAAAGTTCCCAAACTAGAAGTTATTAAGTTGAAGAAGGCTGATAAAAGCAAGGTCTTCTACAATGTTTGCATTTGTAGGTATTATGTACTCTGCTTTTAGATTATTAGTTGTCTTATGAGGAAATTACTTTTTAGCAAAGCTGAGCATTTTGTTGAGTCATGCAATCTGAAAGATCAGGGTCAAGTACTTTTTCACCATGAAACAAATTATAACATTTTGAAAAGAAAGCTTAGTTACCGTTGGTAATTCTGAGCTTATTAGTATTAGCAGAAATGCAGCTCAAAATAGAAAAAAAGTGTATCCATACTAAACCTGAAAGTTTCCTTTCTCTAATCTCCCTGCAGCACTGGAAGCAGAACCAGCCCTGCTAACTCAAGATGATTATTACAGTAATGTACTGCAGAGCATAACAAACTTCGAAATGTACTGAGTGACCCAAAAGCCATATCACACTTCTCAGCATGTTACTGAAAACCTGCCAAAGGTAGGCCATATCTGTTGATCTTATTACTCAGAGAAAAGCAGTTTTCAGGTAAGGATGGATACATTCTCTCATATGAAGGTCCACAGGTTTGTTATACTGATTTTAATCACTGTGTACATCTAGGGAGGGAGAAAGTGATGTTACAACTCCAGAAATCTATTATTAAGGCCATTCTCTACTACCAGAGAGACTAAAATTTGGAGCACCTCTCTCTCTCGAAAGAGCGAGCATTCAATTTGGAAACCTGTAAGGACATACTAACTGATGACCATGTGGCCCCCTAGGAGATCTCCTCATGAGATACATGATTTATCTGGCCATGAGGCCTCTACCGCTCTTCAGGAAGAGTACTCCGACATTAGTGATAAACACTTTTTGCTTTGAAGACCCCATACAAAAACACCACATTAATCACCACTGAAATATTCTGTGGTTTTCTGCCCATTTAACATAGGATGCTAACGCATAAAGAGGCCATTTGATTCGCAAGATGGTATACTGTGTTTAATATAAGTCTGGAGCTATCTGAAGGACTATTTTAAACCATATGAAAGGTATAGTACTATGTTTCTATAGAATGCTGGAATTCTAAAACAGGATAGTGTGGCCACGTGAAGTGCCATGGTCCCTAGACCACTACATTTGAATGTCAATTATGTTTTTGTGTACCTCACATGGGAAATCTCTTCAGGTTAGCAGCGTGGAGCGGACCTTTTCCAAATACCTGACCCTTTTCAGCTGATCAGAGAAAGGGGGCTGGATGTCCTGAGGCAACCCATGTCCCAGAGAGACTTTCTGCAGTAGGCCTGATTCCTGACTGCACAAAACACAAAAATATCTATCCACGAAGAAGGAAGTAAAGACCAGGGTAGCTTGGTCTTTCTGAATTTAGTTGCCATGCCATACTCCATGAAGATGAGCAGGAGTACCAGGCACTGAGTTTATATATATTTTGGCCAGCCGGATTCTGCTTGACAGCTCTAATTATTCTGGGGCTCAACTAAGCATCTCTTTGTGGTCATGGTTTCAGTTTCTCCTCTGCAGCAGGAATGTCTGGAGTTGCTTGCCTACAAGGCAGGTCAGTATCATTAACCCCACCTTAGAGGCACAAAAAAGTGAAGTGTTGACAGAGGTCACCCAGCAGCATCAGCACCAGGAATAGAACTCATGACTCACATTGACCCCCTTGCCTGCAGCTCTGAAGGCAGAAGGAGAACTGTCTGGGGTCTCCAGAGGCTGGGCCATACAACACTTCCTGCCAGTGAATGGCAGATCTTGTTCCACCCTCCAATGCTACAAGTAGGATGAAGACTCACTGGAACAGAACTGTAGGCCTCAGTATGGGAGAGAAAGTGACTTTATGACACAAAGCATGGGAGCTCGATATTTGAGACTAACTACTATAAATCTTTGTGAAAGAAAAATGGTACTGTTTATATTTTTAAAAATTTCTATTATGAGCAATTTCCCATCCTGCTTTAAAGCTTTGATAATTGTCTCCTTTGCTCAGTGTCCCGGACAAAGTCATGCTATAGCAATATGGCTGCAAACAGAAATAAGGTCAGACATAGCAATGGTACTTACATGCTAAAACTATTAGAAAAACCTTAAAATATAAAATAGCTTTAAAAATAAAACGGTGTACACTTTTGGTACCTGGGCTGGAGAAAGAGAAGGGGGAGGTGGGGGGGGGAGAGGAAAATAAGAGAAAGGAGATGCTATGTCTTCGTGAGTGATTGTTTCTTGTTTCAAAAGTATCTATACTCAACTAGCAGACTGATCCAAGTCAGTAGGAGGATTTTCACCATAACCCAGAAAGGAGTGCTATAAGTTTGGTAGCAAAAACATGGAGAGTCGCTTGAAGGAAGGGGGAGAAAGGAATGGGAGTTAAAATGGTCTGGGTCTTCAAAAAGCATACTTGAACTGTTCTGGTCTAAAACTGGGCAAAAACTAAACCAATGACTAGGAAGACTACACATTTCTTTAAATATTGTATCAGGATTAAACGCTCTAGGAATGAGTTTTTCTTTCATATAGTCACCAAGTGAACTTTTATTTTAGATTTAACAAGCAACTATAAAAGCAGGGGAGTAGGGATGAAAAAGAGAACTTGCCTAGAATTGATTTCTGCACCAGCACTGAGTAGGATTTTGATGATGTTCACATAGCCACCAGAAGCAGCTAGACTTAGAGGTGTGTAATCAGAAACGTTCCTGTGCTCTTTGTTTGCCCCTCGAGCTAGCAGCAGCTCCACCACCTGCAATGTTACAAAATAAATTACTTTTGATTCTCTCCTTAAAATTGAAAGCCTAACTGGAGAAAATGTTCTAAACGTATGAATACACCAAAAAGATGTGTCTAGAAAAAACAGGTCTCTGTTTTGCAAGCAATCCTTTTTAAAAGAAAGAACTTGAACTCTTCAACACCATGCCCCTAGCCTCAGAAAACAAGATTATGGTTGCAATTATTTCTCCTAAATTTCATGGCAATAAAATTAAAAAATGTTAATAAAATACAAAGTTGGGGCGCTGTGGAAGTCTAGGCATCTTTGTCTCCCACACTAAGGAAAATAAATTTGCTCTTAATCTAAACCATGTAACTTGCAACCTGCTTCTACAGTAAGGGTGCCTTTATACATGGGTAAATTTCACTTCACCTCTTGTCTTCCCCCTGAACAAGCCAAAGACAACGGCGTGTCCTTGGTTCTCTCAGACTGGGCTTCAATATCTGCACCATTGTCCAACAAGATTTCGACAACACCAACATGACCAGCTGTTGCAGCCAAAATAAGCGGAGTAAATCCTGAAACAGAATAAAGAATGTTTGATTATCTCCATCTATTTTAAAATCATTAACAACTTTAGTTATAGCAATAAAAAGAAAGTTGGGTCACCATGAATAAAGTCTAAAATAAATGTAAAAGCATAAGTAATACCAGGTTCTAAGCATATAATTGTTTTGCTGCATTGTAAGATACTGGAGTTCATTCTAAATGGAACCCACATACACCAATATACTGAGATTCCTACCTTTTTTGTCCCGATGCTCAATATTAGCGCCTCTCTCTAGCAGTGTTTGTACTAATTCTTCATGGCCACCAGCACATGCAAGTGTCAATGCTGTGTCATGATTACTCTCCGTCTAAAAGAAAAAAATTACACATTTCAAAATAGCAAAATACATTTCCCTTCATTTTAAAATTCCATGGTCATTACTGCATGAAGATTTAAATGTACCTCCTTTACAAGACAAATCTTTTAAAAGCCCAAGAAATGTTTTCAATAACTCTAGACATTTTTCTTGCGAAACTAACTATAATCTTCCTCAAATTAGATGTTAAGCTTTTAAAGTCAGCTCTTTAAACAGGGCTTTTAATAAGCATCTTCAACAACTGTGATAAATCATATTTTCTGCTAAACTGTTTAATCTTTAAAGGTCATAATGCCAGTCCTGCAATTTACACTCAAAATACAATATGCCTTACAAATTGTTGCTGTCTAAGAAATGCATGGATTTGATTTTTAATTTTTACCCCCTATAGCAAATCTACAAATAAAAATTCATTCTCATCCTTATAGCTAGTATTTCTGAAGGAACTACAGCATTAGGCCTTAGCAGCTGGAAAGCCAACAGAGGGAGCACAAATGAATTGGCAGGATTTATTTCTGGAGCAGTGCTAACATTATTGATAAACATAATAGAAAGGTTGGGAAGGGAAACGTGAGGGTTGAAGTAAGTGTTTGACAAAAAGAATAAGCATAAAGTTGACAGGCAAGTCGATTTTGATTTCTAGTTAATAAGAGAATGGATTAGCTAGGCCTAGTGCTTGAAAAATTAAAAAACAAATGTTTCAAATTTTGTATTTACGTTTTTGAAATCCAGGCCTATGAAGGTCCCTGTAACTTTTTTTTGGCGTGTGGGAGGTTTCCTTGATTTTAAGGCCCAGAAAAAGGATGACTTGAGAGGCTTTAAATTGCCCTCCTCCATTTCCCCCAACCAAGAGTGAAATCTTGGCCCAAATGTCTTTAATTCAGCACAAAAAATTCCTATGTTTCCTTATTAATACGAAGGTAAGAACTCAAAAAGTTGACACTTCCCAGAAATGTGCCATCCACAACTGTTGACATTTTTAGTTCAGCTTAAAACATTACACTCAACAACTGCAATCCTGGGAGCAAGGAGAGGTGAAGTAAGCTGTGCAGCCAGACTCAAAGTACTGACACATTGTGAAGACTTTCATTTCTTCAAATCAACTACTTTTCACTGAAAAACAAATCCTTTATTGCAATAGTTCTCAAACTCTGGTCCCCAGGAAACATTCTGAGCCCTGCAATGAGGTTAAGTGATCACTCTTACGAGAAAGTCCATCAACTGCTAGAATTACAGAACCACTGCCTTATTAATAATGCCACAGAATGAGCTTACAAATTACCCTAAATTTTGATCACTGGTAAACTAAGTAGGTTATGTGAGCAAGGGCGCAGGATTAAAAGCAGTTCTTTTAAAATTTAAATTTTCCATGCTCCTGCTTTTAAAATTTTCTGATTTTTGTAGAATGCATCCACTGTCTCCAAGTAACCACTTCTATATTTCCTGTTATTTCTAATTATCTACCATCTTGGTATGATGCACTCATTCATGATGACGACATTACCTGTCAGGCCCATATGGTGGAGTGATGTATGTTTCATCAAATCCTCCCAGTGCCTGGTTAAAGAATTATCAGCTTATTCAATGGTGTATATGTGCCAAAAAAAAGAAAAGCTGTGGTGTTTGATGCAATCTTTTACTGAGATTGTGACAGACTTTTAGATGAACACTTTATAAAAGGCAGCAGCCATCCCTCTCTCTCTCTCTCTTTTTTAATTTCTACTCTGACAGCAAAACCTTCTAAGACATTAGAAAAAAATCAGTTCCTGACTGACATGTAGCAGAACAATGCAGCATAGGGCAGAGAGAACTAAAGTTTGGAACCAAGTTCTGTCTTCTGTTACCCAAGC